AAGCTTCTTCTTCCATGCGTAACATTATCTGTTCGCTAATTGTTGATGAGATGTCCATCAGACAACAAAGTTTGTGGGATGGGAAAAAAAATTGTGGATATGTCGATATGGGGACCGCTAATTCTGAAGAGTGCAAAACCTTAGCATCTGAGGCGTACGTTCTATTATTAAATGGAATTAATGACAATTTTAAATTGCCTCTGGGATATTTTTTGGTGCATGGTTTAAATGCAGAACAAAAAGTTAATTTAATTAAATTATGCCTCATCAAATGCCATGATGCTGGGGTTAAAGTAGTATCTTTAACGTTTGATGGGCATGCAACAAACATAACGGCAATGAAATTACTAGGGTGTAAAATAGACATTAAAAATGAATTGAGGACCACTTTTAAACACCCCGTAGACAAGTCTAATATAGCTGTTTTCTTAGACCCCGTTCACATGTTTAAACTTATAAGAAACCACTTCGAATCTAAAAAATATATCCAAGATAAAAACGATGAAGAAATCAATTGGAATCTGTTATGTGAATTAAACAAACTCCAAGAAAATGAAGGACTTCATATTGCAAATAAGCTTACACGTAGGCATATTATGTTCCGTAACAATATTATGAAAGTTAAACTTGCTAGTCAAGTTTTAAGTAAAAGTGTCGCAACAGCGTTAAAATTTTGTCGAGAGGATGCAAAATTGTTTGCATTTAAAAATTCAAAAGCAACTGAAACGTTTGTACAAAACATGAATGACCTCTTTGATATATTTAACTCCCGTAATATGAAACAATTTGATTATAAGCAACCATTGAACAAGCGCAATAAAGAAATGATATTTAATTTTCTAGATTTAATGAAAACGTATATTCGTGGGTTAAAAATTAAAAATACTACTAAAAGAAAAATTAAGAAAGATGAAAGACACGTGGAAGTTATAATAAAAAGTTATAAACCGGTGTTAGAATGTGCGTGCAAAACTGGTTTTCTTGGTATTCTAATATGTATTGAGAGTCTGCAATCACTATATGAGAGTTTAGTCGAGACCAACAATATGCTTGTATTTATACCAACATATAAATGCAGCCAGGACCATTTAGAACTACTCTTTGGAATGATACGAATGCACGGGGGCCACAATGACAACCCTAATGCAAAACAATTTAAAGGTATTTATCGAAAAATATTATGTCATCTAGAACTTAAAGCCTCCGATAGCGGCAATTGTATACCCCTTGAAAACATAGGCATATTAAGTTGTTCATCGTCTACTAAAGCAATTAACTTCTCAGCACACTCGCAAAGATACGAAGATAACGATCAGCTATTTAATCAAAATTCAACATCACCTATTGAAGAAAATGGGGGCAGTATCGCAAAATTATTGTCTTCTGATTTGCCTCAGCTACAAGATTTGTCAAAATATATCGTAGGTTATATATCGGGTTGTGTAGCTCATTATCTAATAAAGCACATAAAATGTCAATTTTGTATAGAAGCAATGTTAGCATCTGATGTCCAATGGTTTCACAAACTGATCGGTTTAAAAAATAGAGGTGGTCTTTGCTTCCCTTCCCAGAGTATTTATGACATATGTTGTATTTGTGAAGCGCATGTCCGGAGAATTTCAAACGAAGATATCGTAATAAGTTCAAACTTTCAACGTTTAGCTATCGTCATTTCAATTTACAAGGACTTCATTGGAAAAAATAGCATTTTTCCGATTGAGGATAGTCATATAAATGGTCTAAGCCACAGAAACAATCTCATAAGGGCTGTGATTGAAAAATATCTAGATATAAGATTTCATTATTTATCTAAATGTAAATCTCTCCTGATTAGTTCTAATTCTAGACGACAATATTTTAAAAAGCTTACTCATCAAAAAAGGAAATTAAATGTTTTGGTTCCTTTCTCAAACCTTGTTTTATTTAATGTAGTTACTTTTATTTCTTGAGATTATTATGTATATAATATTAATACAATATGGAATGGATAATAATAATTTTATCATTATTAATTTACCTCTAACGTTTACCCCAAAAAGTGGTAAATATTATAAATACTTTCTGAGCTAGCAATATTACGCGGGTGGGAAGTGGGACGGGCGCGGGACGTTCGTTTTGTTTTTGGACACAGTGCGCGGCATGTAAATACAGTTGAACGCGGCTTCTGGTTCTTTCTGTATTCTGAGTTTACACTCATATAACTGGTGATTTTGTGGCGGCGCTGCCGTCGCCGCCACAAGCGAAAACACACCGAAGCCTAAATCGCGCTATCAACATTCCGAATCATAAACAGTATATATAGAACATCTCCGAACTATCACTCGGAGTGTCGGCCGCTCCCCGGGCAGAACACCTTGCCCGGCGGGAGATCTCCCCTTTTCCTTCCACGGCCACAGTGGTGACCCCGACGTGATTTGAACACGCAACCAACAACCTTCGGAAACTACAAGCTTCATCATCGTCATAGAAAACCCCACCCATTCGCTCCCGAGCAGATATCGTCTGCAGTCTTCATATCCTGCAAGCCATCTAGCTTCACAAGGTTCATCGCAGCACTGGAATAATAATGCTTCCTGTTCCTTCAAGCTACTCTCTACGCTATACAGTGTTCGGCACGGCTCTGAGCCTTACTGCTCGCCTTTGCTTCACGGCACTCTCGCAGATTACTTGCCTTCTTCTCGACTCACCGCAGACTACAAGGCAATCTCCTGGCACTTGCACATTCGTCGGCAACGAGGCTGCACTATCGACCTCCGGTCTGAGCAGGGGGTGATGTGGCGGCGCTGCCGTCGCCGCCACAAGCGAAAACACACCGAAGCCTAAATCGCGCTATCAACATTCCGAATCATAAACAGTATATATAGAACATCTCCGAATTATTACATGGAGTGTTGGCCGCTCCCCGGGCAGAACACCTTGTCCGGCGGGAGATCTCCCCTTTTCCTACTTCGGCCACAATTTATATTGCGATTTACTCTCGTTTGGTCGAATCGATCCTACGAAATTGCAGTTTTTTATGAAATAAGTTAACGTGATTATTTTTAGATATTTTTTTTGTTTCTATTAATCAAAGTCTTTGCCAACGCAGTGGCAATTTATTGATGCCCTTTTTGAAGAAATCAGCTGGACGCGACACGGCAACAATTTCTTCAAAGGAATTTTTTACTGCCTCTCGGGTATTAAACCGCCGCCAAAAGTTATCCAAATTCAAAAATCTGTAGGTGCAAGGTCTGGTGAGTACGGTGGATGACGGCGAGCTTCCAAACCTAGTTCTTGTAACTTGGAGTCTTGTAACTCTGACCAAATCTGGTTGGGGACGTGTGAGCTTCTCCATCATTGTGTTCAGTTCTTCACAGTACATATCCGCAGTAATGCTCATCCCGTTTGGTTGATAGATGCTATGATGAATCACACCGGCGCTAGACCAACAAACAGTGACCAGTGAGTAATTTTTAGTTTAGGACATTGTTTAAGTGAAGAACCAGGATCCACAGAACTTGCTGAGTGGTTGTGATTGACAAAAAGAATCCATTTTTTGTTGCAAATAATAATTTGTTTCAAAATTCCTTGTTCGTGGAGCACCCGTTTTTCAAGGTATAATTATTTTGATAATAGCATCGAAAGCTGTTGCTAATTCAGCCGTAGATTGAGTATCATCAGCTTCCAGAATCGCTAAAGATTCACACCGTCAAACATAACTACTATTTCGAACTGGATTTGATCCCAACCGACGTGAGCACTCAGTTGGTATCTCTCCATAACTGTGCTGTTGTCTGCATATGTACCAGCCGTAAGCTTTGTTTATACGCAGACAACAGCAATGTAAGAGGCGACAGAAGGAAACTTAAAAAGGTGATTGGCAGCAACATCTTCCTGATAACTACTCCAATGACGCTATGAAACCATCTACACTGCAAGATCATCTGAGAAGATGCCACCCTGATAAAACAGAGAAGAATTTGAAATACTTTCAAACTCAAAGATGAACTTCAGAAGAGACCTACACTGGATAAATGTTCTTGGTATTACCAAAAAAAAACTGAGTTGCCAACCCGCCTGCCTAGCGTGGCACATATGGCAAAATCCCTCCTATGAGGCAATCTATAAAGGAGGCCTATATTCAGCAGAGAACAGACTTAGTTTTAATTAGTTTAAATCTTTCAAATTAGTGTAAATTTAATTTTCTATTTTTAAGTTTTTAAGGATTGCATTTTAAATTAAAGGTAGGTACAGTTTATGTGTATTGTAAGTTCTTAAGGATAATAAAACTTAAAGTAGGTACATAAAATGTGTGTCTTACCTGAGATGCAGAAGGGGAAGGAGTTGTCTTCCCCAGAGGAGGGGCTGTCATAGTGCGGCCAACGCTGGTGGGGCCGCGGATGTGTGCGTTCCCGTGACTCCGCCAATGTGCGGCGAAAGTAGATAAAAAGGAATTTTTATTGGTATAAATCCGACATAACCCGTTCTTGCCCCCACGAAGCGGGTATGCGTAGGCTGTTGTGATCTTGCAAATGTTTTACTTATTAAAAATTTATTTTCACATACACAGTATTCACGTTTTTATACAGTGTTGTTCTCTTCCACGCCCGATGTATTTCTTCACTGAACTACCTTCCATATCGACGATGATTTGGAGATGTGTCTTCAGTCACAGATTCAGGCAGACTCAGAGTTTTACCGTATTTACTGCAGTAAGTGTGATTGACTACCACGGTATTGCAGTTACTTAGACGAGCTATCACGGTATACTACTCACTACTGAAATATGGACGACTGACCAGTTGCATCTTATATTCAATTAGGACCCTCCAGAAATTGATGAATATGAACGTAGTTAAGGACCTAAACATTTTGTGTGAGAATTGAGTGTTTAAATAGTTATTAGAAATTATAAGAAAGAATAAGAATTTTGATGCTCAAGTTATTTGTAGGCACAGCCAGCAGCGTCACATGACACGTTGCATGATGCAGTGGTGGAGGTGGTTTAAAGCTTTAAAGCCATGGAAGGTGAACAAGGTGATTTAAGTCTCGAAGATATCAGGGTTGCAAACTACAGCGACCGCTTGTTAGGAAAAACGTTATACAATGATGGCTATTCTGAAGGCATATCCAACAATAACACTACGAAAGGCTACAGGGCCTTGAGCCGGTGCGTGTGCGAACTCACCGTCGCATTGACATTCTTGCTCGGTCGGTTGAAACGAGCGAACGTGCCAGGAACTACCTAGTTATTAGTTTAATTGTTTAATATAACAATGTTGTATAGCATTCAGAGTATGTGGTTATTGTTTTGTGTATTACATTTTTTATTTTCTCCCCAAAGGCCATACGCAAACATATAGCCATTACTTCAAAAAGGCCAACGTGCTTGGCATTATACCATGGCAAAATTGAATTGATACCTACATGAGTTTCTTTTTTAATTTGGAAATTGTGTATGAAGTATTAAATGAAGTACTTTTAAGTTTGTGTAGATTAGAAGTGCCTAAAAGGGGCGTGGTTCAAACCTAGATTATCCACTAAAATCCATTAAACGGACTCATATGATCTCGTCTTATTTGTATTGAGCTGGAATGGTGACTTTCGGTAAAAAAAATTCTTAATCTTTTGTCTCTTGTAGCTGTGAAAATCTATAGGAACGAGGATTGTCTTTAACGTTCTCTAGGTTCTCCATGTGTATTCTCTATTGAAGGCTGCGATATTGACGAAATCAAAGTGAGTCAACACACACAAATCCGATCGCAACCCGAAATTAGAGACAAAATTTTGTTCAATCGTTTTCTTTAATGTTTAACTATAACACATTACATAGGGTTTAACATAAGAAAACATATTGCAGACTACACTTGCTGCTTACAAAAAAATCTTTTCTCAATTTCAAATTTTTGTGGACAGAACACTTTTTGATAGGAGATAAATTTTCATTGTCATTAATGCCTATCACAGACCCACTGCTGAACATATGCCTCCCTCAAGAAGTATAACAAACGCACGGTCTTGCGCCACCTGCATCCATCGACTTCCTACATCTCTTACCAGATCATCACTCCATCGAGTGGAAGATCTACCCTGTACTTCGCTTTCCAGTACGAAGTTGCCACTCAAGAACTTTTCTTCGCCATCGTTTGACGGTTCTTTGAGCTATATGGCCGGTCCATTGTCACATCAGCTTAATGATCCGTTGGGCTATGTCGTTTACTGTGGTTGTAAAGAAAAATCATCATTTAGAATATAAATATATCACGCGTATGTATGTATTATTATAATCAGTGACTGATTAAGAGTTCCAACAGCCCTAGGCTATCAACTATGAATATCCACCCCCCCTCCCTCCACCCACCGGCCTGTTCCGTCAGTGCCTGCCGAGCCAACGAACATATTTACTAAATTTTTGTATTTTACTAGCTTTCTATCTATAATTACCTAAATGTTTTATTTCCTAAACGTAAAAGTATCTAATGTTTTCCGACAAGGCACGTAGTTTAGCACTTCGACTTTCAAGTATCTTACGATATTATGGTCGCTGTAAAGTAAAGTTACGGCCTATATACGTTACCCACTGCTGGGCACAGGCCTCCTCTCATTTCTAAGAGGGTTTTAGGGCAAGGAAATGTCCGGCGCGCTGCCCCTATGCGTGTTGACGAACTTCACATGTCTTCGATTTTTTTTTTCTTATTCCTCAGACATGCAGGTTTCCTCACCATGTTTTCCTTCACCGCCGAGCACGTGGTAAATCAGCACTTAAAATTGCAATTAACAATTTCATTGGTGCCGGCGGGGATCGAACCCGGGTTATTCGCGTTCTGTTATAGTTACAGCGAGCGTTAACCATCTGGTTGCTGGCGACAACCGAATTCGGGTTGTCTGCTTATTATGCAAGGGTCCGTTATTAATTGAGATAATACATATTATTTCAATATCACTATACTAAAATAAATTTTAATTGCAAGCTTGTTACAAAATTTAACAAATCTGAATATAAATTGCATCAGTAACAGTTTATGGATTAATAAACTCTTATAAAGATTTTTCAGTTGCACAACAGAATTTGTAAAAAATCATTTAATGTTTATTAAAATCTTTGAAAATTGATATTAAATATTTCTTTTAAAATATCGAAATATTTTCTTAGTTAACCTATATGTATCTTTGCATTTATTTAATTAATTTACCTAAACTTTGCAACAAAACTATGGAACATAAGGCAAATAAAGTATCTCTACTTATCTGGTCCTTATAAAATAGCTAGTAAAAAGTTTGGCGGCTCCGTGGCGCAGTGGTTTAGCAATTATTTGCGGCGCTGAGGGCTGCGGCTTCGAATCCCGCACGGAAAAAGTATTTGTATGGCCTACAAATAATTGTTCGTTATGTTTACCCTTGTGAAATGTTATGTATGCAAGCCCCACGACACGGGAGAAAATCCTAGTACGGAGGTAACTTCAAAAAAAATAATGTTATAATTAAAGCAAACTGACTGCTAATCACGAGGACGTGGTTTATTGGGTTCTTCTGTCAAGAAATTCTCAGTCCGAAGTCAGGAAGTAGACGGTGTTTCATGCCCGTGACTTTGAAAGGACATTTTTTTTATATAGTATTGGGTAACAAACGAGCGCACAGTCCACCTAATGGTAAGTGGATGCTGTGGCCCATAGACATTTATCCTCAATTAAGAATGAAAATGCAAATGCGTTGTCACCTCTGGGGACTAAGATGGAATGCCTCGGTTCTAGTAAAAAGGGTCTCCGGTTTTCTACAGTCACCATATAAAACACAGCATTAAGCTGCTATTTTACGCTAATATTCTTTGAGAGCGTGGTCCTGCCCCCTTGAGCCGACCCATTTGTGCTACAACTATAATATAGCTGCAGCGTAGCTCTACCACTTACAGTAAATTAAATTCGTTTGTCCTGCGCCTTTTCTCTCCGCTTGTATCGGGTTTCAGTCCCATTGGATCCATACCCTCACTCTTATGGTGAAGGAATACAGAGTGCATATGTACTTGTGCACGAAAATACGGTCTGGTGAACATTATTACTTACTATTAACACAATTGTTCTTGAGCCTCCTGAACGTTGTCTCTTGCTAGAGATAGTCCCTACAGGGGACGAAACCGCACACGGTTCAGTACAACATTTATCCTAAATTAACCGACGCTGTGAGAGCGAAGTCGTGTGCACCTATCACATAAAACAACTCCTTATTTAATGCCTGTAATATGCGTACAAAGCAACATAGCCAATCGCTCTTACTCATCGGGCTCAAAATGATTTATGTCAATTATATATACTTGAAGTATCTTTTTAATCGTTCGTTATAAAACTATTTTCAAAATAAATAGAAAAATATATAAGTAATCTTCATATATTTGCTTTAATCGAGTGAAATACAAAAAAAGTAGTCATCCTTTCCTTTATTTTGACGCTAAGTTTTTCTACATTTTCAAATTTAATTTAACAATAACACCTCATTATATAATTTACACTAAGAAATAAACCCATAACTTTTTTATTCTTCTTCTCCTGATTTTTCTCTCATGGTGGTGTAGGTATTTAGCTTTTGATTTAATGTTTACCACACTTTTTGCCCTTGAAGTGTTTTCCTTTTTTGTGCTGAAAAATAAAATAAAAAAATGAATATTAAATCATACTGAGGTCACTTAGTTATTATTTCTACTATTTAATTGAAAAAAGCAACTTATGACCAGTAAAATAGTAAAGGTTTGTTTATAAAGTAAAATAACCAACTAGCCTTGGCCTAGGTTTGATGTTTAATCATGACTACCAATCTAAGGTTAATGCACACATTTAAAGTCGACGTAGAAAAAGTAGTTCGTGACTAACTTAACGCTCCAAGGTCTAACACTAACAGGTCATTAAGTAACTTGAAAGTGGTCACTGGCACTTTAATATAGGAGTAATACGATCGTTTCTCCTGTGACTGTGCCACGGTTGGACTTACTAACTGCAAAAATATATGGCTAAAAAGTTTTCGAAAAATTTTTAATCTTCTTTTCAAATAAATTGTTCATCCAATCTTTACTTTTACATTATCTTCACTAGTTCATAACAGTCCACTATTGTACAAGAACCACTTGACCATTTCGTCGCCCATTGAAGAGTATTTTCCTTAATTACCTACTAATATCGTTAAGCCGATTGACAATCGTTTTACCAAACAACGCAAATCGTTGAGGATAAAATGTTTAAAAAAGTTAAATAAGTTAAAACCTATGTACGTCCCACTGCTGGGCACAGGCCCCCTCCCATTTCTGAGAGTGTTTCTGGGAGGTAAGGGCAAAGAAATATCTACCGCTCTGCCCCAATGCGTGTTGGCGAACTTCACATGTCTTCGAAATATTTTTTATTTTCTCAGAAATGCCGGTTTTCTCACGATATTTTCCTACACTGCCGAGCATGTGATAAATCAGCACTTAAAATTGCAAATTAACAATTTCATTGACGCCGGCAGGGATCGATCCCGGGTTGCACGCGTACTGTAAAATTTACAGCAAGCGCAGCCCCTGAGCTATCAAACTTTTAAAAGTTAAGCTTAATTACTAAAAGTGAGTTATATAACTTTGTAATTACTTTATTAAACCTTTCTAATGATACCGAATCGACATGTGCTCTAACGATAACCCCTCTAAACATTATAAATTTCATAAATAACATAACCACGTTGACGAGTTAAGAGCGAGAGGAAATATAAAGAAAAGAAAATCTAATATAAAGTTAAGGAAATAATTTATTCTTTTTTCAGGTTATTATTTGCTCAGAGGACTCTCAACATCGATTTTGGTAAAAGCAAAAACTTGAAAAAAGAGTCTTTCTTTAAATGGTATAAAAAATTATTTTCAAAACAAACGATAAAAGTAAAGTAAAAGCCTATGTATTGTCCCACTGTTGAGTACAGGCGTCCTCTTATATGTGGAAGAGTTTAACGGGAAGGAAAGGCCGTGGTAGCTCAAAGGCCAAACGCTCGCTGTAAATTTCACACTCCGCGTGTAAACCGCGCTTTTACCCGCCAGCACCAATAAAATTGTAAATTCAATTATATGTGCTGATTTACCACGTGCTTAGCTATGAATAAAACATCGTGATTAAACCTACATGTCTTAGAATTGGAAAATAAATACATGTTGTGCAGTCCGACGACACGCATTTGAGTAGTCCGGTTGGCATTTGACCTTGCTCTTAGCAAATTATAAACTCTATAAATCATAAACACTCACGCCTGTCACCCAGAGGGATAGGCAGAGACTACGGGCTTCCATTTGGCGCGATTATGACACACCTCTCTCGCCTCCTTTACATCTATATCTCTACGCATACACGCTTGTCGGTTAAGGGTACTCCTAATGTGGCCCACATTCAAAATATCGCCTATTTGCTCGATAAACATTCATTTAGGGCGTCCCTCCCGACTCTGTCGGTCATATCTGCAATATAAATTTGCTTTGTCACTCTTCCCTCGTTTATTCTTTCTAAATGACCAAACCACCGAAGTATTGCTTTCATAATCCTGGTCACAATATCATCTTGCACACCACATTTTTCTCTTATCATACAATTTCTCACTCTGTAATTCAGATTCATCCCTAGCATACTCTTTAAATACCGCATATCTACAGCATTTATTCTATTCTCGTGCTTCTTCTGCCACACCCAACTTTCACTACCATACATTAAAGTAGGGATTAACACAGCAAAAATTATTATTAATACAGTTGCAAATAAGAATCAAGTCTTGCAGAGAAACATTACATTATATTTTTTATCTTCTACTTTTTTCTTCTTATTAACAGCCCATAAGCATCCACTATAGGATATAACCTCTCCCGTGGTAGGAAAGATCGTCAGTTGTTAAGTTTGGTAGGTGGATTGGCAATCAAAGTACCAGATAACTAGCACCTTTGATGCTGCTCTGTATCTCCAATCTAAGTTTAATACATCTAGTGTAAACTATGGGGCTTGCGATATCCATTAGACTTTTCTGGCTTTTTTAATAGTTGCTTATGATATAACGCCACACGTATGTACATTTCATTACGCTGCCACACTTATGTACATTTTTCTTTGTTTTTTTTTTTAAATATGATAGGGTGACAAACGATCACACAGTCCACCTGATGGTAAGTGGTTGCTGCGGCCCATAGACATCCACATCTATCCTCGATTACAAATCAAAATGTAGATGCGTTGTCACCCGTGAGGACTAAGATGGAATGCCTCATTTCCAGTAAAAAAGGGTCTTCGGTTCTCTACACTCACCATACGAAACACAGCAGCATTAAGACACTATTTCACACTGGTATTCTGTGAGAGCGTGTTCCTTCCTCGGTCGAGCCTGCCCATTAGTGCTAGTATACTACTAATATAACTGCAGCATGGATCTACCATGTATAAACTATATACACTTAACTACTCAAAATAGTCTCATATTTTGATTGTAAGTGGACGAGACATTGTTATAATTAATAAGTTAAAAAATGTACAACAAGTTATATATAATTATATATCAATTGGATTTAGCCAGCGAGAAAATGAAATCATGTCGTGTTTACGCCATCTAGCGTATTTTTAGCATACCACCTTGAAAGTTATTCAATGTTTGTTCGATAAAATCATTTTACGTATAAAATGCAGTAGATGGCGATGTAACAAATTATTATTTTACTTGTGTACTCCAAAGAATACTGTTTTAATTTAATACACTTAAATTCTCAAAATACTCCCATATTATGCTTGTAAGCGGACAAGACATTGTTATACTTAATAGGTATAATTATTTCTACACAATGTCCAACACTAAATTTGAACTAATTTCTTTAAAAAAATGTACAGTACCTACCTAATATCTAAGCATCTAAGTAATATTTTATGTTACATTACTTTTTACACACAAAAACAGTTCAAACTTAAAAAAACTATCATAAAACTAATAAAATTATATTTATGTAAACTAAGTATCCATAAAATCTCATAATATAAGAAGTGACATATAAGTCTATATCAATAGGATATAAATGCCTATATCCATAAATGTGTATTATGCCATCCCTAAAATCCGATAACATAACAAGTTACATACAAGTATATATCAATAGGATTTAGCCTGCGAGAAAAATGAAATCGTGTCGTGTTTGCGCCATCTAGCGTATTTTGTGCGTACCACCTTGAAAGTTAATCAATGTTTGTTCGATAAAATCGTTTTACGTATAAAATGCAGTAGATGGCGCTATAACAAATTATTATTATACTTGTTTACTCCAAAGAATACAGTTTTAATTTATTACACTTAACTTCTCAAAATATTACCATATTATGCTTGTAAGCGGACCAGACTTTGTTGTACTGGGTACATGATGTCAAACATTAAACGTGAACTAATTTCTTTAAAAAATGTACAACAAGTTATATATAATTATATATCAATTGTATTTAGCCACCGAGATAATGAAATCATGTCGTGTTTACGCAATCTAGCGTATTTTTTGCATACCACCTTGAAAGTTATTCAATGTTTGTTCGATAAAATCATTTTACGTATAAAATGCAGTAGATGGCGATATAATGAATTATTATTTTACTGTTTACTCCAAAGAATACAGTTTTAATTTATTACACTTAACTTCTCAAAATAGTCTTATATTATGCTTGTAAGCGTACGAGACATTGTTATACTTAATAGGTTTAATTAGTTCTACACAATGTCCATTCTGTACTATTTCACGCTGGTATTTTATGAGAGCGTGGTCCTTTCTCGGTCGAGCCTGCCCATTAGCGCTACGACTATACTACTAATATGTATAACTGGAGCATGGCTCTACCACATATAAAACTATATATACACTTAACTTCGCAAAATAGTCCCATATTATGCTTGTAATCGGACGAGACATTGTTATACTTAATAGGTTTAATTAGTTCTACACAAGGTCAAACACTAAACTTGAATTAATTTCTTTAAAAAATGTACAGTATCTACCTAATATCTACGCATCTATATAATATCCACGCTCAAAAAGTGTAACTTGATTTAATATCAAAGACTTAACTGCATAAATAAAATAAATAAATAATTATAATTGCATAAGTTGATAAAAAATGCTATGCAATAGCTTTACCGCGGCAGTCACCGAGTGCCACACGTATTTTTTTTATTTATTACACAAAAATACAGTCGGTTATTCTTTATACAACTTTCGCCAAACTGCAGGGCAGTTTGTTGGCGAATACATCACCCTCTTACATTTTATGTACCTACTGTCCTTAAGAATCTAAAATACATATAAACTGTAATTTCAAATGCAATCCTTAAAAAAAAACTTAAAAATGGGAAAATTAAATTTACACTATTTTAAAAGATTTAAAATAATTAAAAATTATTTTAAATCTTTTAAATTAAACACATTAAAAATAACAAATTAATTTAAAACTATAACTTTAAGACAATATTAATTATTATACATATAATTATCCAGCAACCACGCTTTTAACTTCTTTTTAAATATTTCTTTATTACCGCATTCGTTTTCAGAAAATATCTCATTGAAAATACGAGGTACAAGATATTTTCTCGTCCTCTTGCCGTAATAATTATTAACTCTATGCTCAATGTATTTCTTTCGCGAAGTAATTCTAATATTTTTGTTAAACGTTCGAAATGTTTTAAACTCTAGAGATTTAAATTGATCTATTGCAATTAAGTACTTAAGTTTTACATGCACAGGTAAGATTCTAAAATTTTTAAATAAATTATTATAATTTCCGTCTATGTTATATTTTTCTTTGTTTTTTCATCAATAAACAATTTTATTAATCTAATTTGCAACTTAAGAATTTTATCTGTATACGTTTGAAAAGTACGTCCATATGCAATTAGTCCATAACTCAGGGCTGAATCAGCTAGTGCATAGTAAAGCATATATAAGATTGATCTGCTTTCTTGATTGATCTTGCATTGATCTGCTGATTTGTGAGAGCGTGGTCCTTTCCCGGTCGAGCCGACCCATTCGTGCTACAACTATACTACTAATATAACTGCATCATGGCTCTACCACGTATAAAATTCTATATTCACATACTTTATTGATTTATATATACTAAGTGTTCGTAATATTCGTCTAGTAATGAAAAATTCGAGTGTAATTCTTAATTTTTTTTAGGGCTGTGTATTAAGCAAGCTGTGTTTGACTTTCAAGTGCACATTAATACTTATATATAAAACACAGATATCATATTTGGGCAGCCCCGATGGATTTTCTTGGGGATGTTATTATATTATAAGCTTGATGAATGTGTACTATATTTAATATTATTGCTGTGTCTATCTCTACGACAAACAATTAGTTTCACAAAGGGAGTTAGGAATACAAAAAGTAATAATTGTTAGAGCATAAATATATTAAACAAAATTTTGCTTTTTATAATTACACAATATTTGCAACTGAATTATGTATAAATTATAGTTCAACGTGAGGACAGTATACAAATATTGTATATAACCATGTATCCAGCAAATAAATAATTTTCTCTTTTAATTTAAAATTAATGATATTAGAATAGACGGAAAAATTAACTCAAAATGATACTCACGTAATTTGAGGACTTGTCATCATCATCGTCTTTACATCTGTCGTTATCATTATCTTCCTCTGAAGATGATGAAGAAGATGAAGAATCATCATTTTTGGAATTTTTGCAGCCCTTTAAATAAAACGATAAGAAATTCTTATAAATAATTTTAAAAAAACCTGTAAGAAAGACTAAAATAATTTAATAATTGGTATATTTTAAAAATATAGATCACTTCGATTAACATTTGATCTCGCCCAAGCTAATATACGTTTACGCCTATATACGTCTCTCTTATGATCACAAGCCGCCTCTCATTTCGAGTTAAATCTTTTAGTAATCGGTCTGCAGCACTGCTTTAGTGCATTTTGGTGGATAATTAAATATAATTCACTTCCAACCATCTAACTTCGATCTTTTATTATGAAAGGTGATAAAAGACTTCACAGTCCACTTGATGGTAAGTGGATACTACGGTCCACTAAAATATATATACGATTAAGAATAAAAAAATGGATGCCTTTACACCCTTGAGGACTAACATGGAATGCTTTGTTATCAGTAAAAAGAGGCTCAGGGTCTTTACATTCACCATACGAATCACAACCGCATTGTGCTTCTATATTATATTGTTATTCTATAAAATATCTTTCTTCCTGTTAAACCGACTAATGCATATTGCAGCTATAACTGAAGCATGATTAAGAATTTAAAAAAAAACTCTACCAAGTTGTGCTCTTATAAACAATTTTCATGAAATTTGGGGTGCAAGTGAATTATGTGCTATATAATGACTAATGGCATTTTTATTGTACAAGCAAGTACTCATTTTAATAATATGCGTATCTATCCATTTTGTTTTTCATTTGCACTCGCACGCAATTTTTGTTTACGTCTGACAATTGATTATGTACCGATACATAATGTTTGTCCTACTTTTTGCAAACTATTAAAATGCAGTAAAATATTATTAGTCAATTGTAACATAACTAATTGTTTTCAGTCTATCCATATAATAGTCTTCGCACAAGGCTTGAAAATTTATTAGTGTGTTCACTGCCATCTCTGTTTACATTCATTTTCAAATTTCATTTTGGTAAAAATATTTTAAAGTATTTGTGTGCGTAAGATAGACACGCAAAGAGGTAATGCGTAGTCAGACTTTCCATTCTCTACGTAGAGTGCTAAATTATGTAGGTTCTGATGTTCTACCTTGTAAAATATCTACGGTTGTAAATATTTCAATTTTGATGTCACGATACCACAATAACTTCGCATTTTGCTACATGTAGCTACAGCATGTTCAATTAGCGCACGAGTCAATTTTACGGCCTACAAATAATTGGTCCTGGTTTGGATGTTTGTACATTAGCAATTTATGGTGGTACGTCTAGAATGAATTCTATAGATAATTTACTAGTAATTTTCTTCGATCTCGTTGATCGAAGGTAATTTTATTTTGCCGTTTTCAAACAGATTTTCTCTGGATTCTATATGTAGAATAAAAATGGTTAATGTTAATTGGGTTGGTGAATTCCAAAGAAGAACTCAGTATTCTGCAACAAACATTTTTATTAACACTACATTATTTGTACCAGTAAGTCTAATATTGTTATAGTGATACTCCTAAAGTTTAACTTCAAAAACTATAGATAAAAATAAAGATAGATTTTAACATATTTTAAAACTGTAGTACATCAAACATAAAAAAAGCTTGCGATTATCCTATTTCAGCCATTATGAACCGAATTAAAGTATCGATTTATTAACCAAAATAATGTAAAACTTTACTTAACTACTCGCAAAATTTAACTTATAAAAAGAATAACTAACTAAAATACGTCCTGAGCACTTCTTCTCTCTTTAAATTGTGTGACGGATTATCTTATAACACCCCAATAAAGGAACAAAAACAATTTTACCTTAAATTTTACATCCGTTATATAAATACGCCAAAATCTTTAACGTTAATAAAACGTTTAACTCATAATAATATTTTTATATGCACGACTGTCTTGCTTCTCTTACATATCTATTAAAGTGGAAAAATTAACGTGGCAAAAGTTAGGGGAACAGTTTCATCATTATTGCTCATTAGAGCCGCAATTGAAGCTCGCTTGAAGAAATACGCCGTAACACGAACATTTTGCAAACAAATTGGAGTGTTTCGCTGCGTACACTACAGCCAGCCCTGTTAGCTAATATACAATCCTCACAAACTTTTTGTATTTAAAATGATTTATATAGCGAGCTGAATTTGAGCTGTTCTAAGTAATAAAAATAAAACTCTTTTTTGGTTAATTTCTTGTATTGCAATATTAATTTTAAGTTGCCGTTTTACTATTTTAAAGTTGAAGTGTAATCAGATCAAACGGGCATTTCTATTTTCTACATAATATATAAATGTACGTATAGCCTATTTAACAATAATTTCATACCTTGTATAGAAAAGAAACAAAATCATATTCATGCCACAGGTCAGAAATGTGCGGCCTATAGATATGTACAACTATCCTCGACTAAGAATCAAAATGGAGATGCGTTGTCACCCCTGAGGGTTAAGATGGTTTGCTTTGTTACTAGTAAAAACCGTGAGAACTCTGAGGGCGTAGTCGTATTCTAACCAATGCAATCGATTCAAGTTCCAGCCATAATATAGCTGCAGCGTGGCTCTACTACGAAAAAAAGGAGTACGAAGAAAAGTTTAAATTGCTAAATATTACAGCTAAAAGCCACTTTTTTTTACTACCTCCATGCGCCACTAAGTAATCGATCTGTCTCGGGAAAATCTCTCTACATTTCTTTGCTGATTGGAGTAATTACGGATTTGGTAGGCTATGCCAGTTATTTCTGTTTTACTGTGGATATCCTCATTACGAATTTTATTTTTCAGAGCAAACTCGAATGAGGAATATATATACATATATATATGTGTGTGTGTGTGTGTGTGTGTGTGTGTATATATATATTATGTGTTTATATATATATATATATAAAACATTGTACTAAATTTATGAAAATAGATTAGATAACATAGCTTATATATAATAGAACATATTTATATAATAATAGTTTGTTAGTTACTTAAGAATTTATCACAACTAACGATCTTTGTATTGTAATCGAAATATTAAACTGAATAAACGATCTTGTCAAATAATTAAGGATCCTCACTGGGAAGCTTTAAATTTTTTTACCTAATAAAACCATAATTTAAAGTCGCCAACAAACACCTTTTCTTAAAAGTTATTGTGGTCGTAATTGGTGTATTTTTTTTAATTTTACAAACCATTTATTTACAATCTTGTAGTTACTTTTATGACGTACTTTCAATCATATGCAAAAAAGTCAGTATTACAAATATTATTACAAAAGAAAGCAACCGAACACGATCACATCTCATAATTATGAATAGGTACATTTATCTAACAGTTATACTTTTATTTTGTTTTGGTGTTTATTGTCCAAATACTCATTGCTGCTCAATTTTGAGATGCCCTTAAGTTTCATACTCAGAGTGACACTATTACTTGTATTTATTATTATACAAATTTTAATTCATTCATCTTCTCAAAACTGTCGCATTTGAAAATAACGATTCCTTGCAATTGTTTAAACGATTTCGCTTTAAACAATACGGCAACGAGTTGCCCCATGGCAACATGCATTTATCCAATATAATAATATATTCAGGATGCTGTTGGAAATGCCTCGTTTTTGTAGTGCGTCGGGGATGTTTGCGGCATACCAAACAGACGGTTTTAATGCCATCATACGCAAAAAACTGCATCCCTTATTAGCAGGGTACGAGCCAGTCACAACAGCATTCTGAGGACCGTAGCGGACAGATATACTTCGCCGCTGTGGAAATGTCTTGTACAGAGACTGATAACTGGGCCCTATCCACCCCCATGATGATCTGTATCGGCAAAGTGTATTTATTTTATTTCCCTAGATTTTAAGCAAACCATTGTTTTTTTTTTCTTTTACTAACCCTTGTTATTATAATTGTTGTTATTATTATTGTGTTACTAACCCACATATGGATTTTAATTATCTGAAATAAAGAATTTATTATTATTATTATTATTTATATCATCAGTAGGAGAATTTGAAAAGAATCACATAAAAAATTGAGTTGGAATAGTTTTCGGTACTCATGCGCCGATTTTTCCTGGACTATTGAAGCGTATTTTAATACGGGCGCCAAATATTAGACTGTTTTAATTGATTTTTACTCAAACTTTTTAATAGAATAGTGGTGACGACAAACAACCATACAGTCCACCTGTTGTTATGGTCCAGTATTTACCCTTGAGGACTAAAATGGAATACCTCATTTCCAGTAAATGGGGTCTCCGGTACTCCACCTCACCATACGAAACACAGCAGCATTAAGTTACTATTTTACGCCCTTCCCTAGTCAAGCCGACCTATTCGTGCAGCAACTATATTACTAATATTGCTGCAGCATGGCTTTATCACGTATAAAAAACTACATTGTATGGAAGCCGTTTGGAACTGGCTGTGATACGTCACTGTTTGTTAGAATATATTTTTGTTATTGTCAAATTTCCGAATAACAATAAAGTCAATATAAACTTCTATCGATGTGTTAACTACGTAAGTAATTAATACCTATTTCTACCCATTTTATTTATTTATTTTAATTTAATGATTTTGTGAGGTAAATTTACTGCGTAAAATATGATATTTTTCCTTGACTTCAATGAAGTTGCGGATGAATTAATGTCAATAATTTGGGTATTATAGGGTGTTTTGCACTGCCTCTGCTATTATAATTGGAATTTAATTACTAGGTACATATTTAACTTTTTTATGTTAATTTCCATATAATATAAAATGCTTTTGGATTTAAATATAAATAAAAAATAATGAATAATTTACTGAAAAAAAAGCAAAAATTATATGAATTTATTTTGAATACGTTTAGAAGTCTGAACTTTAAATTCAACCCATAAATAGACGGGATATGAACCTGCAAGCTCTTACTTTGTTCATAAAGGGCATTTAACTTTTTTCTCTGATCAATACTTGAAACAACATACGGAAGTCTGTTTTTCATCGGTTAGACTTGCTTTGATTTTATCTTAAGATTTTTAAATAAAATG